CTTAAGTCATGATCTCACGGTGTGGTTCGTGAGTTCAAGCCCTCGCTGCTGTCGGTGCAGAACCTGCTTCGGATCCTCTCTCCCCCTCTCTCTCTGCCCCTCCCCCACTTGTTCTCCCCTCTCTCTCAAAATAAATAAATAAACTTAAGAAAAAAAAAATAAATGTATCTTTGCAGCTCCTGCCATCAGAAGAGGGAGTCTCATTTCCCTACCCCTGGAATCCGGACTGGCCCGAGACTTGCTTTGGCCCAGAGAATGGTGGGCGGGTTGGCGTGCCAGGTCCGAGACTGGGCCTCAAGGGGCCGTGGGGGCTGGGATGCTCTGTCAGAGCCCTGTCCTGCCCACACGTAAACGAGGCTAGCCTGCTGGATGATGAGAGCCATGGGAAACTGACATGAACCACCCCCTGAGAGCACCTGCGAGCTGACCCGCATCTGACTGAGATCCCCAAGTGGGCCCAGCCAAGAGGAGCGGCCCCGCTGAGCCCGGGTCCTAACGTTCTCAGACTATTTAGTTTATGGAATCGGTCGGTGTATACTTTTCCAGAAAATTCATTTTGCCCCTCTGATGACCTTAATGCTCACCCCTGCCACACAATGGGGTTGCGCCCTATTTGAAGACATGTAGGGTGACAGTCTTCGTGTGGCTGGGACTTTCCTGCTGTGGTCACCGAGAGTCCCACATCCTGGGAAACCCTTCCACCTGGTAGAGAGCGGGACCGTGGGTCGCCCCGCACACGATCACCCACCGGCTTCTGACCGTGGCGGGCTTTGCGGTTGTGCATTTGATAGACGGTGAACCTGAGATCCAGCAAGTCTGAAATGGCCGCTTGGATCGCCCAGCTGGAAGGCAGCCGGGAGAGGAGCTGAATCAACGCAGCCCGATGCTCATACCTGAGCCTGTTCTCCCGCACCTGCTGTGTTGGGGGTGGTGATGCCAGCCCCTTATGACTGGGCCGTGGACGTGAGGGCCTCCGCCCCAGGCACACTTGGGCAGCCCTTCTTCACTTGGGTCCTTTTCCAAACACAGTATTCCAGGTCTGACACCAGGAGAGAAGAACTCGCAGCTTGTTTTGTGGCTCGCTGCACGGGGAGAGGCCACTCGGGCCACTGCCAGCCCGGACCCCGCGCTCTGAGGCCACAATCGCCGCCACCTCAGCTCCGGAAACGGCAACACAGATGAGAAAGAACCCGCAGAATCCAGAAGACGACGACGAGGTAGGGAAGGGGAAGGGCCAGGAATAGAGAACCGGTTTCGTCTCTTTCAGGAACCTTGTTGGTTCTTTATCGTGAACTCTTTGTTTAAAAAGAAAATCCATTTTTCACCCATTCAGAATCCCAAGCTGCCGAAAATTTCCTCCCGTGATGAGACGCATTCAGAACAAAAACGTGCAGCCTGATTTGTCTTTCCCTGAAATCAAAGGCACTGTTCTAAAGAGACTGCGTTTGCCACACAAAGGTAGCAGATGTTTGTCGAGATTTAGCCACACAAGCATTCGCTCGTTCAGTCTTGGGAGCGTTTCGGTTTTTGAAAAGAGGAACAGTTTTGTGTCATTCCGTGATGCTCGGAAGCTTCTGGAACTGGCGCTCAGGTGGGGTGTGGACCAGGGTGGGTTTGCTCCGGAAGGCTCTGCAGGGTAGAATGGGGCAGGAGGAGTCATACCATGAAGGGCTCACTGAGCGCCCAGTGTCTTCCCAGCTGCAGGTGCAAGGACCTGAGGGCGCCATGACCTTAATTCTTGCCCGCAAAGAGTTTCCAAGACTTCCTAGACTCACGGGTGTAGAAAGCCGGTTCTAGAGCTGCCCTTGCTTTTAACTTCCCCCAACAGATTTCCCTTCCCTCCTTCCGTCCTCTCCCAGAGTTCTCTCCATCCCTCATTCCTGGGAGGTAACCAGTCACAGAGACCTGTATGTTCTATCCCCCCAAATGGAATTCAAAAGCCATCCTTGTTCCCATTTTCTTTTTTATTTCTTTTTTATTTTTTTTTTCAACATTTATTTATTTTTGGGACAGAGAGAGACAGAGCATGAACGGGGGAGGGGCAGAGAGAGAGGGAGACACAGAATGGGAAACAGGCTCCAGGCTCCGAGCCGTCAGCCCAGAGCCCGACGCGGGGCTCGAACTCACGGACCGCGAGATCGTGACCTGGCTGAAGTCGGACGCTTAACCGACTGCGCCACCCAGGCGCCCCCTTGTTCCCATTTTCAATGCAGATTCAGTCCCTTCTCCTCACTCCCATCCACAGGAAACACCCTGGGCACACCTCCCACGCTGTGTGCCAACGGTCTGTTCACTGGTCACACCCAGAACTGCTGGAGAGTAGGTTCACCTTGACTTTCTCAGTAGCCAGCACAGGGCCTGGCAACTTCCTGGGGCTCATCAGTAGGCATGAGTGGATGAGGAAGTAAGAGTAAATAATGGCAGAGTCCTTCACCTCCTCCTGCCATGCCCTTCACACCCCTCTGTCTCTGTTCACACAGCCCTCTTTCTTTCTTTCTTTCTTTCTTTCTTTAAAATTTAACATGCCAACTCCTATTCATCCTTCAACACCCAGTGCCCATGTTACCTCCTTCAGGAAGTCGACCTGACACCTTCAGCCTGTGAGGCTTACTCATTTCTCCCTCTGCTTCTACAGCGCCTTGTGCTTGTGCCCATCGGAATAAATACTTTAATGACGATTGTCTCTGATTCCTTGTTTGTCCCTGCCAGGGACAGCAAGTAGACTTAGTTTCACAGCTCTGTTCTGCCTGCTGTTGCTGCCTGAAGCAGCGTCGAGTGGATGCTGAGGGTGCTTTTTCATCATTATATTCATATACATGTACATATATAATATTTATATTTTATACACTACATATAATTTTTCGGCGTATGGGAGGGAGCAGGCCCATTTCCTCAGCAGAAGTAAATCCAAAGAACATGTCACAGATGACACAAGGCAATGAGGCAGACAGGTACACATGGGCCAGGCTGCCGGCTGGTGCGGTTTCTAGAACGTTAAGCCTGGTCGGTGCAGAGAGACTGAGGATGACTGATCCCAAGGCCCGCGTGGGGAAGGTGTGTGAAGCTCCCCCTTAGCTTCTGTTCTGTTGCCTGTGCTCGATGGTTGACGAGAGAGGAAGGACGTTCTCTTGGTTCTTAGCTGACTCCATGCCAGGCAGACGCTGGGCACTGGACCCTTAACTCTGATAGTTACGGGAGTGGACGTTAGGGTTAGAAAAATTGGGTTAGAACCCCTGCTCTGTTACCTCTAGTTGTATGACTTGGGGCACGTCACTTGCTTAGCTTCTCAAAGCCCCGATTTCCTTGAAAGGAAAAGGAGCTTCATGCTAAAAGTCAGCCTTTGTAGACTCCCTGATAGGTGCCAGGTGGTGCGCTTTGAAGTATCTAATCTTCACTGCTATGACAAGGTAGGTGGCATTGCTGCCCCCCGTGTTACAGGTGAGAAACCGAGGCTCAGAATGCTTGGGTAACACGTCCAAGGTCACTTGGCTGGAAAGGCTCCAGGTCTGGGTAGAAACCCAGACAGCCTGACTTTACATCCAATACTCTTAGCCATGACCCTCATTTAAAAAAAAAAAAAGTTTACTTATTTTCAGAGAGAGAGAGAGAGAGAGAGCACAAGCAGGGGAGAGGCAGAGAAGGAGAGAGGGAGAATCCCAAGCGGGCTCTGCAATGTCTGCATGGAGCCTGATGCAAGGCTCAAGACCCATGAGATCACGACCTGAGGGGAAATCAACAGGCAGATGCTTAACCAACTGAGCCAGCGAGGTACCCCAGTCACGACCCTCGTTAATTGCTCTTTGATAAAGATTTTTGTTAAGTTTTGCACGAGTTAATTTTTAAAACGGGGCTCTAAATGCTTCGTCAGTGATAGCTTTTCACAATACTTTCAGAAAACTTTCCTGAGTATGCAAAATGGCCAGATTTACATCCCAAGAAAAACCAAAAAGGGCTCTGAGAATTTTGAACGCAAAATATTTCAATTGTAACGAGGACTTGTTTTTATACTATAAACATCAAGGAAGAAAAAGATCAACTTCTTCTAAAAGAAGGTGAAAATCAGCTGTGTCGAGGCTTCTCCTTTGCTTTCTAAAAATGGACGAGTCCTTCCAAGGTTTCGAAGGAAGAAGATCAGAACGTAAGAATTTTGAAGACTTCTTCGTACCAGGAATGGGCAGACCTGTTTTAGGGTCCAGGGACTTGACTGGACTTAGAACGGAGGTGTAACACAAATCAACGGTAAGAAAATGGGAATGGGAAATTCTGGTATTAAAGGACATGGGGTTCTTTCTTTTTGAAACGTAGACCCCAGAATCAGATATCTGGGCTGTGGATTCCACTGTGGTGTCTGTGAACTCTCGATACTTCTTTCTGCTACTCTCTTCTGCTTCTGCAACGTCCCTGACACCAAGAAATGTATGTCCCTGTTACTTGTGTCTTTTCCTTAATCTGGGTTGTAGCATTTAATTTGGGAAAATAGGGATTAGGAGGCCCAGAGTGGTTAGTGGACTGGCCCAGGTCCCACCACAGTTGAGGGGTGGTGTGGGATTCCTCCTGGGCTCTCCCAGACACGGCTTCTGCCTGACCGTGGGGGACGCCACCCCGGAGCAGCGTTGGGACAGACCCAGCCCCCTGCACCTGTGTGGCCGTTGTGTCAGGCTACCTGGGTTTCCTGAGGTTCGGGGGCTCAGGAGGCCCCTGCCCCCTCTCCAGCGCTTCCTTCTGGACAAAAGTGTGTCTGCCAGTCGTGACTCGAGGGTCCCAGCTAAGGTTGCACTGCAGAGCAGGGGCTGAGGCTCCCGGGCCACGCCTGGGCCCAGAACCTTTCTGCCAGGCGCTTTCTTTACGGAAGTCCCTCAGATCCTTGGTCAGAAAACCAAGGGTGAGCAAGCCTTCCTCTTTCAAGATAGCCCTCTCCGCTGCCCAGAAGGCCAAGACAGAGGGAAAAACTGTAGCAGAAAGGGCCTGACATGTCACATTCATGGTCCTGGCCTTGCTTTTTTTAGAAAAGGAGCTCTTTCCCATGGTTAGGGGAGAAGTCAGACTTTTTCCGGTTCCTCTTGGGCTGGACATGAAGCAATCTTCAGGCCTGATGTTGACACCAGGTCAACCCCCCCCCTCCCCCTAGACCTTCTCTCTGGGCCGGGCTGCCTGGACTTCTGGGCTCTGACCTTGGCAGCAAGAAAATGACCCACTGGCCAGGGGTTCCATGGCAGCAAGAACCGTGCAGGGCCTTAGCAGAGACAGAGCAGAGCGGGACAGCAGCAGAGACCCACATGGGTTGACGTGGCCCCCAACTCCACGGCACGCTGACTGGCAAGCCCCGGACAAGGTACTTAACCTTTCGGCATCTCAGTCTCCCCACCAGGAGGTAGTGGAGAAGTTGCGCTCTGTGCACAAAGGGGTTATTTCTAGGAAAAAATGAGAGGGTTCTGATGGAGAGCTTGGTGAAAGACTTGGCATATGTTAGACCCTCAATCGACATCGTTTCCTGTCAAGGTCCTCGAAGCTTGCACCTCAGTCTTTACTTTGAACAGTCACCGGAACGCACAGTACGTGGGAGTAAGGATTGTACGCTTCGAGATGGGACCTCTGGATCCAATGAGAACTGGGTCCCAGTCAACGTGCCCCGCACTTACCAGTAGCAGTGTGAACTTGGGAAAACTCATTCTTTTCTTCGAGCTTGAATTTTCGTCTCCCTTGCTTGGTTCTTGTTAGCGGGTGGTGGTGGGGGTTTGTGCATGTGTTAGGCACATGGTAGATGTGTAATAACCAATCCCGTTATTACAAAGGAATCAAGTCAAATCCAATTCAGTGGATGGCCTGCACCTCTGTGGTTCTGCCCACCATCAGATATGTGACGGTGGGTCAGCCCTCTGGCCTGGTGTGTGTGTGGAGAAAATCTAATGGAAAAGTTAAGGTCAGAGCGGCTTTCTTGGTTTGATCATTCACTTTTTCGCTTTTCTCAGAGCCTGGCACAGCGCCTGGCTTATTCTGGGCCCTCGATACATACTTGTCGAATTAAAGAAGGCTTTGTTAATGCCAACAGAGTTTTGTCCCGACAGGGCTGGCCCCATGCTTAGAGGGGCCTTGTGCTGGGGCACCTGGGTGGCTCAGTCGGTTAAGCGTCCGACTCTTGGTTTCAGCTCAGGTCATGATCTCACGGTTCATGAGATCGAGCCCCACATCGGGCTCTATACTGACAGTGCTGAGCCTGGTTGGGATTTTCTCTCTCCCTCTCTCTATGCCCCTCCCTGGTGCGTGCTCTCTCTCTGTCTCTCTTAAAAATAAATAAATAAACAGTAAAAAAAAAAAAAAAAAAAGAAAGAAAGAAAAAGAAAGGCCCGTGCATGGTTTAATGCTCTCCTGTTGCCATCTTGAAACTCTTAATACTTTTTGAAAAAGGGCTTTTCATTTCCATTTTGCACACGGCCCCACAAATTATGGAGCAGAGCTTGTGTGCAGGCAAAAATACCTAGAAGAAAATCCAAGCTCCTTAGGCTGATTTGCCTGCTCTGCCCTGCGGCCTTGATGAGCTCAGTGGACATGAGCCACCGTGCTTCCTGAACTTGAGCCACCCAGGCCTGTTCCTTTAACAGGTCAAGCCCCCAGCCCCTCCCCAGCTCATCCTTTGGTTGGCTCATCATTATTCCTCCACGGAAAGGCCCGCCCTGACCCCCCCTCCCAGCCACTCTCTGTCTTATTAACCTGATTTATACTCTTTATAGCCCCTGATTCTTCTTTCTGAAGTCTACTTGTTTCTTATCTGTTGACTTGTTTATTTTCTGTCTCTTGCAGTAGACTAAGCTCAGTGGATGCAGGCAACAGTCTTCTTGTCTTGTTCCCTACCTTGTTCCCAAAGCATTGCACAGCCCTTGGCATACAATTGGTACCCAATAAATGCTTATTGACTTAAGAATGCATGGAATTGGCAGCGTTGGATTTTCTTTTTTATTATTATTATTATAATTTTTTCGATTTTTATTTTTCTGTTTTGATAAAGAGAGCAAGCAGGAGAGGAGCAGAGAGAGAGAGAGAGAGAGAGAGGGAATCCTAAGCAGGGTCCTCTGCACTGTCAGTTCAGAGCCTAACGTGGGGCTCGATTCCACGAACCATGAGATCGTGACTTGAGCCGAAATCAAGAGTCAGATGCTTAACCGACTGAGCAGCCCAGATAGGGATGAGCATAGCCCTGTGGGTCCCCAGCCCCTGCAGTTGAGCAAAGTGGCCACAATTCTCGTATCCTCCTGGCAACAGAGGCTGGGATCCCCGCTCAGGCCCCTGTGATGGGGCCTGTGATGGGGTGAGTCGACTCTGCACCCGGGGACTTAGAAAGGCATGAGCAGCTGCTGTGAACCAAGAGGTGGGAAATCGCTTGACTGCAGTGGACACACGGGATCAGAGGCCATTTAATCCAGTGCCCCATTTTGCAGTTAAGAAGATTGAGGCTTAGGGAGAGGAAGAAACTTCTTCTGTAGCCATAACAATAACAGCAAAACTTCCCATCAAACCAAACCAACTAATCAAACAAAAGGAAAAAAACACAGTCGGAAGCAGGTATAGCAAGTACGATAGTAAATGCATTGATATTTACAAGGCTCGTAGAGCAGTTTCAGGGACAAGGCGCTCTTTCACTGTTCCAGGAAATTTGCAAGACCCTTCCTCGTCTCATTTCATTTAATCCTTCCAGCACCTGTAATATTGTATTCCCATTCTACAGATGAAGAAATGACGGTTCCAGCTGGGGAGTGGAAGAGTTGGGATGTGACCCCGGGCTGGCTGGCTCTGGGGCTGGGTTCTTAAACCTCTTCCCTGGATTGCAGTTATGGGTAGAGCGGGCCTGGCATCTCTGTGCTCTTTCCCAGCACCAGGCAGGGGACTGGCCTGAGTGGGAAATGCCTCTGATTCACATTTGCTCTGCTGGGAAGCCACCTTACTCATTGGCTCATTCATGCTGCAAGTATCCTCTGCCATGCCAGGAACTGCAGACAGATAGGTGAAGCCAGGCATCCTTTGTGCGTGAGAGCAGCAGGCCCAGGCTGGAGGGCCTGGCGAAAGGGGGTCACACACTGGAGAGCTAATGGGCACAGGCTAGCCGAGTTTGCTGTTCCTCCTGGAGTCCTCGCCTACCCTACGTGGAAGGGACGGCTGGCACAAAGGTTGTGAATGGCCAGGATCCCAGATACACCAGGGCAAACCAGACCTGTTTAGTTCTCCCGTGCAAAGGCCCTTAGGGAGGGCTGTGACAGAGAACTGTGGTAGCTCCAGATGTGTCTGAGGGCTGCGCTCACTCGTGGGCCAGCTGAGCTGTGGAGAGGGCACGAAGCCCCAGTGGGGCCGTCCCTGGAAGGCCCCCAAGAGCCTTCAGCAGTGATTCCAGATTCACCTCTCCTACCTTGCAGCCTGGCTGTCCTGCCTGGAGGCTCTGGGCCTGTTCTGCTCCCCACGCCCCGTAAGGAGTGTCCCAAAAAGCTCTGTGGGATTCAGTGTGGGTCTCTTGAGGCGGGTGTTCCCTCTTCTGTCCACAGCAGAGATCCCAACCTTATGACCTCCATCGACCTCCTTTACGTATTCATTCATGCACTAATACTTTCTTTCAACAAATACTTCCTGAATTTCTCTTGTAGGCTAGCCATTGTGCTGGATGCATCTGAAAATAAATAAGTCATAACTTCCACCCTCACAGAACCCACACTCGAGAGGGCCCGCATAAATAGAATATAGTAAGGAGAAAAAATGATCACACACCTTAAAAGGTGCACAGAAGGAAAGAATGGGGTGATACCCAGTGTTCTTAAAATTTATTTATTTATTTATTTTGAGAAAGAGAGATAGACAGCGAGAAGGGGAGGGGGCTGAGAGGGGGGTGGGGGGGGGGGGGGGGGGGGGAGACAGAGAATCTCAAGCAGGCTCTGCACTGCCAGCGTGGAGCCTGACACGGGGCTCGAACTCACAAATCGTGGGATCATGACCTGAGCCTAGATCAAGAGTCAGATGCTTAACGGACTGAGCCGCCCAGGCTCCCTGATACCTAGTGGTTATGGAGATGACTCTTTTCAGCTCACAAGAGACAACTGTTAAAAATCCAGGAGTTTTGTGAGCTGGTGGTTAAACATAGCCATTATGAAACATTACATTGTTGTAAGTTTACAATGAATGAATGATGTTAAAAAAGTAAAATGCATCACTTCCTAGTTCCTAGTTCAAGGGCATTATCCGTGCCCTTGAAATCATTCACTCTGGTGGTATCCATACAGTGGACAGACCCTCTAATGATGTGTCACTGTGCCTCTCTTCCTGACACCACACTCAGTGACCTCACACTGCTGGCGTGACATGGATCGTGATGGGAGTCTTCAACCCAAACTGGCAAAGACAACAAGTTAGGGCTTTTGTTTCTCTTTGAGAGCCAGTTGTTAACCCATTTACCAGCAGACCACCGGCGTCCACAAGAGAGTAACAGAAGAATGGACCTCTGGCAGGGAGGTCAGGGGAGGCGTCTCTAAGGAGCAGGTGCTTCTGCAGAGACCTGAAGGACCGGGAGGTGTCGACCACGTAATCGAGCACATGGAGTTTGGTGTGGAGGGAAGAACAAGGGTGAAGTCCTGAGGCGTGGTTGTTTCTGGGAAGGGAAAGGAGACCCACGGGGGCTGTTGAGGGGTACAGAGAGCTGTGGTGTGGTGAGTGAGGGGAGAGGATGTTGGAAAAGCAGGCAGGGGGCAGACCTAAGGGTGCCAGGGGGTTTGCATTTCATAGGAAGTGCGCGGGGAAGACATAGGCGGGCGTGGCAGGTGTCCCCAGTGTCTGCTCTGATTCAGGGTGCTGCCTGATCCCCACATCCCAGGCATTCTCTGTCTGGCTTTCTTCTGCCCCAGGGCTTTCTCCAGAACTACAGGGCACGGGGGCAGCAGGAAATGAGTCCTCTTGGGGACCACCTTCAACCAGAGGAGATGGAAATTGGTGGATAAAGGCTCCAACCTCCTGTTTTGCAGATGGGAAATCCTAGGGAGACTTCTGTGCACTTCTCAGAGAGCCTGGTGCACTCCAGCCCCTTTGCCTACCATAACGACCTCAGTAATGTCCCCTCCGGTCAGCGTGGGCCCTTCCTGTCTCCCTCCTTCTTCTCCTTCACGCATGCTTCTGGGGATCAACTCCCGAATCAATTACTGGCATCAAAACCCCTGTCTCAAGCTCTGCTTTTGGGGGTCCCCATACTAAGGTGGGTTATATGGGGGTGATGTGAACACAGTGAGCACAGAACGGGTAGATTGGGAATAGGTTGGAGGCACCATTTCTGCCTCCTCAGCTTCCTCTACCTATGCCTGGGGCTCT